CACACACACACACACACACACACACACACACACACACACACACACACACACACACTCACCTCTTTACTGAAAGCGGTAGAAGATGTCTTTAAAATTTTAAGTAAAACAATCTGGCTACATAAATAATATCGTTGTAAAGCAACAACAACCAGGAGGAAGCATAGAGCAACTTGTCAATTCTGCAGTGCTTCACTTTCAGAGACGGTGGGGACATTAAAATTTTATCTTCTCTAACGTTAACATTCTGCCTCTGTAGCAAAATTCTTTCCTCTTTATTGATCTTGTCCTCCCTTATTGATCTCGACTTGGTCCAAGCCCTAAAAGTCTTGATCTTGTCTCGGTCTCGAGACACTGTGGTCTTGACTTCAACACTAGATGATGAAGCAAAAAAAAAAAAAGTGTATTTTTACAATTAACTCATCAGCTCTGACTGCAAAACAGCATCACAGAACACCAACTTAACTACAGCGGCTGATGCCACTGCTCAGCTCATTGATGCTAATATCTGTAGCTTTGGCCTGGCAGCTACTGGTGCAACATTTCATTATCTCCTTACAGCCATTCTCCAGGACATGAGTTCCATTTTTATTATACAGAAAAGAAGAGGAAATAAGTATTATTGGTTTGGGAGGGTTTATAAGGACATCTGAACTGTCCATTAGTGTTCAGCTAAAGTTGGATTAAACTATAATGTTAAAAAAAGAAAAAATAGATGTACATATTTAGAGTAAATATTTTTGTTTAACAATGATTGGTTTGACAATTAAGTATGTCATGTAAAAAAATATTTAATTAAACTTAGTTGTCTTATATAGGAGCACTCTGATTGGCTAAGGCACTGCTGTCATAAACTCTTTCTGAACAGAACTGATTCCTCTATCAATTTGTGATTATAATTTAATAATTSACAAGCCAAATGAAATGAGCTGTACAATGCCCAAAGGGCCTAGTTTAATATTCACAYTATATACCAATGTTATGCAAGCACCGCTTTGCTCATATTGTGATGGAGTAAAGGACATTAATGTTTTATTTTGAAACAGTCATGAGTGTTTATCACATTCTTCCTTCCTACTGGTAGAGGCACAACTCAGAGATAAATAACAATGTTTATTTTGTAAATGATCAGTGCAGCACTTTCATTTGTATTAATAGGATATCTATTGATGACGTCTGAAACATTTATTTTTTTTTATTAAAGTTGCTTGTTTCATCTAAACATTCTAAAAATCAAGATCTTCACACTAAAAAAATGTTGACAATGGATGGATGGATGATTGATTCTTTATGTAAAAAAAATGGTTTGACAATGACAATGTGTTTTTGGCATTTTTTTTCTTTCCAAGAAGTCAGTCATTCAATTAATCTTTTCAAAACAAAATGTAGCCAATTTAAAGACACCTCATTCATGCTGTGAAAATAAAGGCAGCCTGTAGTGTTTGTTTTGCCACATTTTTGTTTCCGGTACCAACTTAACTGAGACCTTTGCCTCACTTATCATCCAGCTAACAACAACGAGACAGGTGTAATAGATCCAATTCAAATCTCGTCCATAACAATTCAGACTCTGACGTCTGCAGTCAAAACACCATCAATTTCTTGTCAAGTCTTTGTCGGTTTTTGGGGATGTAATTAGGCATTGATTAATAATTCATGTCTCATTAATTTTTCATAGTGGCTCACCGCATGACACCTTATTGGATAAAGAAAGGGGAAAAGACAAATTTGAAGTTGCTAAAATATTTATAACAGAGATTTATCCTTCCTTGGAGGTGGAGGGAGCGCTGTGAGGAGTCGGGAAGAAAACCTGGAGAGAAAGACAGAGAGAGAGAGAGAGAGAGAGAGAGAGAGAGAGAGAGAGAGAGAGAGAGAGAGAAAGAGAGAGAGAGAGAGAGAGAGAGAGAGAGAGAGAGAGAGAGAGCACTGCTGATGTGGGAGCTGGTTCTCAGCAATTGCCTTCCTCGGGATGTTTTCTAGGACAAGACCCAGGAGGGCAATTTCTAATACATCAAGGATCATGGTGGACCTGCAAAATGTCATGAAGAAGTTTGAAACCTATTTAGATCTCCACAGCTTGGTGGACGTCAATAAGAATAAGAGCGCTAATTTTAAATTACTCTGAGATTTATAGTCAGTCCTTGAGCCAGTAATGGTGAATTATTGTGCTAACAAAGCACAGTGTGGTGCTGTCCATTATAAGCTGCAATATTAACAGGTCCTWATGTTTTACAACAGTATTATGCACAATTAAAACAGCAAAGTTAAATCATTTTCTTTTTAAATTGTTCATTTGGATTCAAAACACCTTTGTGTTTTGTGATCTGTTAAAAGCACCAGATATCAAACTGTAGCTGTTGTGTGACATTAACAGGCTAATACTAGTGCTGATTAACACGGTCTCTAATATGCCATTAACTTGACTAAAATGTCTTCATACTTGCCTTGACACCCTAAAAACGAGACGTTTCTGTGAAATGATCTGTAAATCCCTCATCTGTGAAACAACTTTTTCTTTCATCACACCTGAAGTGCGTTTAGTTCTTTGCACCCAGTAAAAGTGTGGTTCCTCAACAATCAGCATGGAAGCCTGCATTTASGCGTTTCACAGAGACGTCTCTCTGTCTCAGCATCTGTCAGCATCTGTTTTATAATTGCAACATGGGTGGTGGTCAGAATCTGTATCTTATCACTGTGAAACCCTAAGGCTTTCAGAGTTATTATGGATATTTAAGATTTTGTCTTTTAAAAAGAATGATTGAAACAAGTTCAAACCAAATTTATTGTGAATTTGGTTTTGTTTGGGATTAACTCTTTTTCTAAAATTTGTGCTAATTTGTCACTCTTGGGATTAGTTGAATTAAACTTTAAAGGTAGGAAATCCCTAAAGTACAAATGGTGCATTATTCATTCATAAATAAATCTTTTCAAAGGCTCAGTACTGATTGGTCAGTCTTCTTTTTTCTTTTTTACTTTATGCGTCAAGTACAGGTCTGCAGTACATAGGGGGGAGTTTCTTGGGTGTGGGCGGAGTTTGGCAGAACCTTGATTGCTCAGATTGACTTGTAGGGGAAGATGAAATGTTGATAAAAGTAAAATTATTGAGAACATGTAAATCTACTTCATTGACTTCAATTTTTATTTATTTATTTATTTATTTATTTATTCGGGGCAGTGTGCAATTAAAACATAATTTGATGCATTGCACCAGATTTAGCCTAAGGCCAATTTACATCTGTAGTCCCATCAAACGGTAAAAACAAAACATCCAACAGTAAAATAGAAATAAGAGAGGAAAAAAAACATAAAAATAAAAAATAATATAAGATAAAACATTTAAAAATAAAACTAAAAATGAAAAAAAATTGGTGTGGCTAGCACCATCCTGTTTCAAGTTATGACAAAAATGTATATATGCTGAATACAGTATATTTAAGGTTATAAATGTGTTCTGGACTATTTGTCTGAGCTACATGTCCCCTGAGGTGCTCAGCATTCAWCCAAGTGAATTGTTATTGCTTCTTCAAACCCCAYCTGGAATAGTAAATCTGACCAAKCACATCTTTAACAAACTCCTCCCACAAAAGTCAAACAAATCRATCATGTTAAACTCCTCACCAAGAACCTCCCACTTAATGACCACAAAGACTTCCTTTTCTATAGGTTACCACAGGACATCATCCTTCTCCATCTCACCCTATCCCTAGCATCTTTGTCACATCAACCCTCTACATACCCTCCTTATATATCCGTGACCACCTCTGCTGTCATCTTCCTGGCAACTCTTTGCTAAACTATTTCTTCAACATATCCACTATCTGTCCTTTGCACATGTCCAAACCGTCTCAGCCTTTCTTCTCCAACTTTGTCCTGAACTGATTGGTTTCAGGAGCAATTCAAATTCAAACTGTATTGATTAACAAAATAAGTTGCTATTCAGATCATTCTTATAGATAACCATATACAACAATTATATAAAAATGATGTTTTGGTATCAAACAACAAAATCAGTGTCATTAATGTCATAAAGTTGATCCGTGGTGAAGAAAATAGAGTTGCAGTACATGGCAGGGCTGGCAGAGAGAAAACTGTCACGGCTYGGCTTGACAACAAATTGCTTGTTACTTTCTGTTTTGCAGTGATTGATGGACCCACACAGCTGATTGTGCGAGATGTATCAGACACAGTAGCTTTTGTGGAGTGGATGCCGCCAAAAGCAAAGATTGATCAGATTGTACTGGGTTATGGCCTAGCAGGAGGAGAGGGGCCACGGACCACCTTTCGCCTCCAACCCACACTTACCCAGTACTCTCTTCAGGTGTGTGTGTGTGTGAGTTTGTAGGGGTCATTATGTGCAGAGGGCACAGATGTTATCGCACTGTCGCATAATGGAGCTTGCCTGCAATCTACAGACAGAAGGGGGAAAAAAATAATAAAATTGTTCTTGCGAGGTACATTTTATCCTTGGGCTGTGCTAAGTTTTATTTTTATTTATTTATTTTTTTCAATGCTCATTAAATGATCTAATCTCAGAGTTTTGTTGCCATCTGTGTGTGGAGATAAAACAAAAACAAAACAAAAGTTAGGGGAAAAATACAAGCAAAGAGCCTGAACTGAGTGAACTGTCCGTGTTTTCTCCTTTTTAAAAGGTTCTGCGGCCCGGCTCTCGGTACGAGGTGTCCGTGAGCGGAGTGAGGAAGGGAAACGAGAGCGGATCTATTTCCACTGAATTTACAACCGGTGAGGTCTGACAGCAAGCAGATGTGCTGATGATTTGTGTGATCTTTTACTTATCTTTGAGTATACAACAGTAGTACCACTTTGCCTAATGCATGCAACCTTGCTTTTTTTGTTTGGTTTTGTTTTGTTTGTCATTGGAGAAAAAATAAGATCATGCATGTAATTTCAAGGTAATCATTTTGCTAAAGGTTGTGCAAATTAGAGTAATTAATATATGTATGAAAGAAAGTCCTTCTGATTTGTTTTCAGTGCTTAATTTAGTCRTCATTTTCCGCTACACTTACAATCAAAAATATGCACGCAACGTCTCTTTATGTGTTAAATAATTCCTCTTCGAGTTAGTAAATGAWGCTGCACAAAATGGCCCAAAAAATGCCATTGAAAAATTTAAAGTGGCAGCCAATTGTCTCACATAAACACTGAATTAAAGTAAATGACAGTTCACCTTGATTTGTATCCATTTGTGCTGCTTTTAAWGTGCTGATTCTTTTTTGCTCGCTCACAATTCCTGAGAATCGGTCTCTGTGTTCCCAACATTGTCAGCTTTATCGTTCTTCTCAGAGATCGATGCCCCAAAGAACTTACGGCTCRTCTCCAAGACCTCCACTACCCTCGAGCTTGAATGGGATAACAGCGAGGCTGAGGTAAAGAGACTTGGGAGAGATTTAATGCCTGTATCTCAGTTTGCTTTCAGCCACTTTGACAGATTGATGAGTGGGATACTCATCTCAGGACAAGAGAGTTTAGTCACTTCAGTATCTGTTTTATGCTTGACTTTAATTTTTTTGTTTTGTTTTGTTTTGTTTTAGTGTCTAAAATTGTCTATATTCTGATTGGAGATGGGTGATACAGCAACATTGATATTTGAATTTAGTTTTATTTTATTTTATTTTGGAGGATAAATGTTTTACTTTATAATGTTTCTGAAAAAAAAAGGGGTTTAAAAAATGACATTGACGCTACAGTTTTGTCCCATTTATTAGGCTACTACTAATGCATGATTGGAGCAAACATTGGGGATAAAAACAGATCAATTACCATGAAGAATGAGTGGGCCCAAGAGACACAAAACCAGGAATTAGATTGAGTATATATGCATCATCCTCCAAACCAGTCAAGGAAGGCTCAGATAAGGTCACTCCTGCTACGGAAGAGATTAGGATTCTGTAAAAAAATAAATAAATAAAAGGCAATTTCACCACAAAATATTTTACTTGGGTGGGCCATTCATTCATAACCTCTGTAACTGGATAATGATTTAACAATTGAAAAAATCGAGAGGAAAAAAAAAACGAACTAAATGAAATAGTATGTTCAACGGAACTATGTAATGAGAAAGTAAATATTTGTAGTTGAAAGTTTAGATTTGTGTCAGTCAGCCATAATCCCTTATTACTCTCCATCTCCATCATGGCTTGAGAAAGAGTGTGTTCAAAACAACTAAGCTGCTACCTAACTTTTTTTATTAAACATTTTTTATTGCATTAGAGAGAAATTTCTAAATCCAATAAAAAATAATGCCTTTCTAAAGAGTTATTGAGCATTTGTATGGGAGTTCAGGTCAACTGATTTATGTGGGCAGCTCCAGCTGATAAGGAAACGTACATTTATGTGAAATGTTTGCCTGAGTTTAGTTGTTGGAGAGGTTTTTATGTGTGTGTTTGAATGTAGGTGGAGGGCTACCAGGTGGTGTACAGCACTTTAGCTGGAGATCAGTACGATAAAGTCATTGTACCACGCAATGAGGGCGCCACCACCAAAACTACTCTCACAGGTAAGCGACGGGGTCTGTTCATCTCAGTATGCRCTGCTTTTCTTGAATTATTTATCATGAACATCTGTAGAGCTCTTACACTTCAGTGTGTTGTTTTTCTTGATGCCTTCAGTGTTATCACGGCGCATATATCTATTGTGAGCGGAAGAAGCTGGAAACATTGTTTTACATGGCAGGATTATCTCCAGAGCTAACATTTGCTTGACGGGCTACTGATTGTATCTGTGAAAAGGCTTGTTGTCCTGAGGCCATGTTGAAAGACTGTCAGAAAGATGGGTCAGCTGGGATGTATTTTCTTTTCTCCTTTTTTTTTTCTTTTTCCTGAAAGGCCATGGTGCTCCAAAGGGCAARGCCTGCATGAGAATAGAAGCAAAAGGTCCTCGTGTTATTCTGTCAAGGCCTCTCAAATCAATACTCTCTCCACTTTCCTTCTCCATCACTCTCATTTTCTCTCCCTCTGACCCCCTGCTTCTAATAATCTGTCATCTGCTCTCTTTATTTTTCATTGCTCATCTCTTCATCTTTATTTCCGCAGTGCAAGAAGCTGAGACATATTCAATAGATTTTAATCTCATCCGTAATGGCGTTGGGTGGGGAGGAAAGATGATTTCTKCGAAAATGTTCTTGTAAAGCACCACAGTGTAGTTAATAGGAGTGTTGTGAGGGGAAAATCTTCATCTAATTGACATGCCCTGCATATGAGTATGTGAACCAGTGCTCTATATTCTGATGTATTACTTGGTAAATTGCTGGTTCTCTCTCTGTCTCTGTGCATCAGATCTGCTGCCGGGCACAGAGTACGGCATCGGCATCTCCGCCATGAAGGATGGCAACCAGAGTACACCGGCCACAATGAACGCTAGGACAGGTGGGTGGACTAATTTATACCACTGCATAAAGCCAGCAAATGTTCCCTTTGCATGCACAATAAGAGAATGTGAATAACAGTTGTTATGGAAATAGTAATAGTAATGTAGATTATTTTTGATTGAATTTTGATTGAATTTATTCATTTGAGAAAAAGGGGCAGATATAATACGATTTTTTTCTTTTTCTGCTACCTTTCATTGAATTTATGATTTGTATTTTTGTTCTTTGTTGTTGAATTTATGTTGCAGTTTTTAAAGAAATGAATAAACTGAACTAAAAAACAAGAAAAAAGAAATCCCAGCGATGAAGCTCGCTGCTCAGCCCATTTGTTTTAAGTAAATCAATGTTCGTACTAAGTTAGTGCTCCTGTTCCAAAAGCTCTTTTAGAAAATGAAGCAAATCAGATTTTGGCGAGATGTGTGTGATTTTTTTTTTTACGTAGGTGTTTGACTGTTTCGTTTTTTATCACCTTGAGGTTAAAGTTGTCATTACAACGTTTTGAATATGTAATCAAGACTGCCATTTAGCTAAAAGCCTTTTTCTCTTTCTGTGTCCTCAATTTTTTATAAGTTAGTCTGACAGGAAAAATAGAGATGAGTTTAAAATTAACCCCGTTGAAATGTCAGCGTGTTGAAGTGTGTCTCTAATCTTTCCCAATAAGCTCTGTGTCATTTTTATCTCCTAGATTTACATTTATTTTGGTAACAGGAGGCATTTTTTTCTTTCATTTTCAGCGCAGACACATTTGTTTTGCACTTTCACCGTGTGCTCTCRTTTTTGACACTGATAATGTACTGTCTTTTCAAGTCTTTTTAAAGGATTTTTATGGATCTCCGATGCACAGCAGCACATGTTAGAAAAAGTCTGGAGCTGCAGAAGTATTTCTATTACCTGCTTTTTACTTTGAAGTTTTTAATGATTTTACTTTGCATACTAAAACCTGCGAGGAAGCTGAAAATCTTCTGAACCGAAGATTAACACAGAATTAAACTCCACAGATTATTTGAAGAACTAGGAGGTCCTTTTCTAAATAAACATAGTGTGATTTTAATCACTAATGTTTTTGATGTTGTTTCAGAGCAGTACAAACTGTGATCAAATAATGATAAATTAGATGCTAATTCAGAAACGGCATTATTTTATATAAATCAGAACATGGGAAAAATATTTATTGTTGTACCTAACTGAAACCAAACCAAAATCAACTGATAAACAAAATAATAAAACCTGTGAAAGGGGACATGCATGTAAAATCTACTTTTTAGCCTTTAAATACATTTTTATCTTGTACTCGGAGTCTCTAGGAGTGTAAAAAAGTTGCAAGTTGTAGTCTCACCAGGATAGATATCTACRTAAAATATTTGAGTCATATTTTTCAACCTGCTCACTTTTCTCTATTTTCTATAACATTTTCTGAACTATTACATCAGATTATTTGTGACAGAATTGCCAAATAAGGTCTGGGCTTACTTTCATTGTCTTCATTCTCCTCTGGCTCTGGGCCAGACTCTGGCTCCTANATGCACCTTTTTAGCCTTTAAATACATTTTTATCTTGTACTCGGAGTCTCTAGGAGTGCAAAAAAGTTGCAAGTTGTAGTCTCACCAGGATAGATATCTACGTAAAATATTTGAGTCATATTTTTCAACCTGTTCACTTTTCTCTATTTTCTATGACATTTTCTGAACTATTCCATCAGATTATTTGTGACAGAATTGCCAAATAAGGTCTGGGCTTACTTTCATTGTCTTCATTCTCCTCTGGCTCTGGGCCAGACTCTGGCTCCTATGACTGGATAAACAAAACTTCTGTTGTTGACTTTTTTTAATTAATTTGTAAATAAAATGTTTGTGTCACTATATACTGTAAACCCCTCTATCAAACTGGACCACTCTGGAAGATGGAGGGGGGCGAGGTGTGAAGGGCCTCGTTTGGATTTAAAGAGACAGCGTCAAAATAAGTTGAGCTGAAACAACCTCAGAACAGSGGGGAAAGAGGGGCTTGTGAAGTTACAATAATAAGGAATTCAGACCAAAGCATTGCAGTTCCACTTTAAATAGACTCAAACTGAATAATGTAAATGTGAAAAGAAGAATTTGAAAGCAGGATATGTCCCTTTTAAGATTTATTTCTTGTAAGGCAAAGACACCTAGCAGCCCGGTTGACACAGTTGGAAGGCCGACCAAAATGAAATCCAACAAGACCAGAATAATTTTTGGGTCCAAGGAGAACAATATCAAAGTTGAATAATTTTTAGGCCGTGTTTGACCCTCCAGGGTTTATTTTTTGAATGACAAACTGTGGGACTGATAAAGCTGCTGGAAGTTGTGGGTTTTATTTGCATGTAATGCACATCTGTGTAAAAATAAACATGTACAGGCCATTGTGATCTTCAGAAAGGGTGCAGCTTGGTATTGTTTCTTTACTGCAACTAAAATATGAAAGGAGAAACCTGTCATATATTAAGGACCTTGTATGCATAATAACCAGTGCCTTTTGTGTTATTTTTTACATTGTAGTTTTCAGTCACGTTGTGTGCTTAGCTAACACCTTGCAGGGACCATAACCTTAAAGAGTGCAGACAATGAAATATCAAGTGTAAAATAACCAGAAAGTTGCTTAAAGATTAAAAATAAATAAAATAAAAAAGCATTATTTTGAACTGGCCTCACTCATTTTAGCTTTTAGTTTATTCCCCCCCCCCCCCAAAAAAACAAACACAAAAAAACAAAAGAATACCAGCCTGTTATTCCAAACTGATAGTTCTCTGATCAATTTCTAAACCAGGTAGGCTATTGATTCATAAAAATGACTCCACGAAACACCTTTAAACGTCAAGCTAACTTTTTTGATTTATTTTAAAAATGCATCTAAGAATGTTTCTGAGTGCTTTTACATTTAGTAAAATCCTGTTTTCCTTCTGTTACTGCAGATCTAGATGTTCCCCTGGATCTCACTGTGACCGCTTCCACTGACAACACCATCACTCTGGTGTGGGGTGTGGTCCAGGGTCCGATCGACCACTACAGGGTCACCTACACTTCTTCTTCTGGCATCACAACTGAGGTAACACATACAGCCAAAAACTCATTTTACAGTTTTAGTCAAATTTATCATTATGTGTCTTTTTTTCTCTTTATTGAGATCTTACACGGWTCTAAATGGTTTTATGAAGTGGTGTTCCAGTGCATAATTTCACTGTCCTGTTTTCTTTGTTTCAGCTGACAGTGCCCAAAGAGATAACCACTACCACTCTGACAAATCTTGAGCCTGGAACTGAGTACACCATCACTGTAGCAGCAAGAAGAGGGAGACAGCAGAGCACAGTGGCAACCATAGATGCCTTCACAGGTAGAAACCAAACAAAAAGAGTTAGTTTTACAKCAAGACGCTCCTAAATAAACAACTAAAACATCTTTAAACGATGCAAAAATAGCATTTCAGTTGCTTGCCTTTTTTTAAATCGCAGCTACCCACAAAACCTTTCTAAACAATATCACGTTAAGCCGCTCAGTCATCAGGAAGAGCTGAAATTAATGAATTCCCGTGTGCCTCTGCACAGATTAAGACATGAAAGATCAGCCAATTACGACAGAAAGCAGGAGACGGCTCTAAAGACAGTRTTGCACACTAGAGTGAATGGTGAATATAATGAACTAAAGTGTGGCGGCAGGTAAGGTGAGTCACACGCAAAGAAAACAGGGACCCTGAAAAGACTTTGAAGCAGCAATTAGCAGCGGTAAATTATTCAAGTAAGCTAATGAGCTTCTTAGAAGTTTTTTTTTTGCACCTCTGTTTTGTTTGTTTCGTCTAAATTAAGTTCAGTGCCACAGTTTCTCAGTCGTGCTTTCACACTCAAGTGTCTGATTCTGCAGTGATATTCCTTTAAGACGGTTTATAATTATCCTTCCCCCCCCAGTCACGTCTATCCATTCAACATGTCAAAGCGCCCATCAATCCTSTCAGATTTGTAAGCTTTTTGTTATTTTTGCAAAAGGCTTGATGTGATTTTTAGTTACACAAAGAACGATGTCCAAATGATGGACACACGCTTACCTGCTGTCGGTTTTATCTGTTTTTTTTTCCTCACTGCTGTCGTTATCATCATCACCATTCTTCTTCTTCTCCACTGTGACCATCATGGCAGTTGTTATTGTCACATCATCATCATCACCGTCATCATCATCATCATCATCATCATCATCGTTCTCTTTTGTTCACTGTGGCTCCTTCAGGAACTTATCTTAAACCATCTGCAGAGAGACGAGAACGAAGTAAAATGACAGATCAAGAGTCGCTGAAAAAATACTGGATTGTGTGCAATCTTCTCTGTGACACATTGGCAGCATCTGTCTGCTTGCATACAGGTGCATTTGTGATCTGAAAATATCCAATTATTGCCCACAGATTTTCCTTTAATATATTTTTTAAACATTTTGTTTATTTCAAAGCCAGGCGAGAGATTTACAGAGTTCTCTGAGTTTACAAAAATGAGATAGAAAGCAAGGTCAGCCAACTGAGCACCATTTTAATAAAGTAACAAGAACATAAAGACGGCTGTTGAGCATTGAAAAAGAACTAGGTGACCCACGATGGTTACTTAAATGTGTCAAAAGCAAAAAATAAAGAAAGAAAGAAAAGAAAAATACGGGTGAAAACCAGCTAATGGAAATCAGTCACTGCTTTTGAATTGCGGCTCAACCGAATTACAAAAAACCAAGTAATGAACTGGCCTTGAAAGAAAGGATGATACTTTTAACTATTTGCTGCACAACCTTTTAGGGCAATCACTACAATCAAGTGTTTTTAAGTGATGCAAACAAAAGTAAGTGTGATAAACCGCTTTCAAAAAGTTTAATGACAGTTTCTCTTTTTAATTTAGTCCAGGAAAATTAACATTTTCCTCATTATCAAAAATCACAAATGTACCATTTTTTTCTGTATATCAGTGGATTAAAAATATTCATTATCACATATTGTACAGTGCTTACGTGTGGTCACCAATGGTCTCGCTCATTTCTAAATTATTAATCTACAAATGACTTTCTGTCAATTTGATCAACGGCCTTCATCATAACCATCACTGAATCGACTTGATGTGTACTTAAAGTAAAATCACACTTTCTTTTTTTTAAATTAGTGGGCCCTTTAGAGTAGACAGCTTGCACACAAGTTCACTAAGCATAACAGTGTGTGTTACATGTCAGCAGCTTGTGAAAGATGTACGAGTTCACAGTGAAGACTATAGATGCAGCCTTAGGTAAACAATGCAGGTTTCATATGATGACTGATCACTAAAAGACCTTTGCAGTTTGTGTTTAATCTGAATGAATCAGTAAAGAAGTCAAATGTGCCATTTTCCCCTTTGCTGTTTATTCGGAGACAAATTGCGAATCATACTAAATTCCTCTTTCATTTGTTGCTGCATCAGCTTCTTCGCTKGTTCTTTTTTCGTCACATCACCTCTCATCCAAGTCACACAAAATAACTGCATCTGCTATTAATACGTCTTTTTCCTATTATATTTTTCTCAAGCAGTCTTCATCTTCATCCTAATGCCAGAGGATCTCATTAGTTTCCACTTTTCATGACCAATTAAACCTTTACTGCGAYGTGTTGGTGGTTCTCTTCGGCTTAAGGCTGTACTTAAGGCTGATTTTTCTCAGCTTTAATGCAAACAGCCTATCTTCAAGTGCTTTCATCCCTCATTGCACAGCTTGTCTGTCATCTTCATCCATGCAGCAAYGTTTTCATCACTACTTTTCAATTGCTGCAGGATACATATTTAGATTTTTTATCCATATTTGAAAGCCGTCTCGTATTTTCTAAAACACAACCCCCCCACCCCCATTCCCTCCAGGAATCAGACCTGTGACCMACCTCTACGTGTCAGAGGTGACTTCAGACTCTGTGTTAGTGGCATGGACCGCCCCAGCACCTCCCGCTGACCTCTTCATTCTGAGCTACAGCTCTGCAGACGGGACTGACACCTCTAAGGTGACACTGGATGGCTCCAAGACGAGGTCACTAGTCCAGGGCCTTCTGCCATCCACTTACTACACCATCAGTCTAATCACAATACAGGGGGATGTTACCTCCGAGCCCATTACGGCATCACTCACTACAGGTGAGCGGCTTTGAATTCACAGGAAAGTGTTGTTGAGCTTTGTCGAAACAATTATTGCTTGGGAAAAATCAATACAGTGTGTTAATGTGCACTGTGGGAGTTCTGTGAGCGTTAAATGAGATCATGTTCTAAACAACATGAAATCAGTGAGGTTTTTTTTTTAGTAACATGTTTTATGTGAAATTGTCAGGTCAATAAAAAATGAGGGACAAATTACCAACAAAAAGTCAGTCATGTTTTGAACGTACATGTTTTTAAAGGCAGTTAAGGAAGTAATTTCCACCATCACTGAAAAAATAAAARGGTTGCATGGTTCTACTAACTGGATCTATCAAAATCCTAAGTTTAAAGTAGCAAAATGGAAGCTATCAGGAAACATTTATTGAGAATGGTGGTGAATGTGGTTGAGTGGAAAAAAGATAAATCAGTTCATAAAATGAAAATACATTATTTATTAATCTTGATGTAAGCAGACAAATCCCACTGAGATCATACATCTCTTTTCCAAAGAAGGCTATTGTATATGTTTTTAGTCTGTGGGAAAACTGGATTACACAGAGAAAACCAAAGGTGTATAATAAGTACGTTTTTTTGTTGTTACAGTACTTGAGTAACTTTTTGAAAATCTGTAATCTTACCAATTTTTTAAATTGTAACTTTAACTTTCATTTTGTTACATTTAAAACATGAGAAAATGACACTTACTTATTTACTTGAATATTTAACACCTTATTACACTGTACAAATTGAAATCTGATCAGAACCCATCATAAAAGGAATTGTTTGTGCATTCAAAAAAATGAAGTGTTGAATTTACTTAACCAAGTTGTATCAACTGGTTCTAAATAGTCAACTGGTTTTTAATAATTATTTTCTGTTAAAGTATTTTTACAAGTACTTTTTACACACGTGGAGGAAACCCTCACAAGCACAAGCGCATCAAACTCCACTCAAAGCCTCCAGGTCTGAACCAGGGATCAAACTTTCTTGCTGTGAGGCATCATTACTAACCACTGAGCGGCCGTGCTGGCAAATTACATTATTTTTTTTATTTCTACATTTACACATAAAAAATACACAGGTGTTTTATTCTGGTTTGCTATCAGATGACGTTTGATTAAAAAAAAAACGTCATTTGAGAGAATAAGAAGCCTGACTAAAGAGCCAGTGTTTGTTCTTCTGACTGACTGATTTAATTTCAGTTCTAAATTTAAATTTAAAATTGTAACATCAGAAAGTCTTTTTTATACAAAAAAGGCTTTTAAAAGAAATGAAGGATGCTGTTTAACAGCTCACATTTGTATGATAGAATTCCCTTATTTTGTACTGAATTTTACATTTCTATGAAGTCACTCATTAAAGTACTTTTTTCCACATTTTTTTTTAATCTTGTTTCAAAATGATATTTATTTTTTGATTTTACTTGTTGATGTCTTTTTAACTTCCAGAACATTTCCAGGCTACTTCCCAGCTGAATTTTCCATTTTTTTTAAACTGGCATATTGTCAGACAAAAAAGGCTCTCGAGTGGAATATTTACACTTGCAAAGAAGAAATTAATGAGAATAGAGTCAGCGATGTAACCTTTTGTGATCAACGAAGAGATGAAAAGCACAAAAAGAAATCCTTTGTTTTTTGTCTAAAAGGCAGTGAAAGAAAAATCATTTCATGAAAGACCTTTAAGACAATTAGAGCAAATTAAATATGTTAACTTGTGCCAGAAATACTGCATAGAGTGCCAGCTTTAAACCAGACAGCACCTCAGCAGCTTAGAGCTTTTCCACTTCCTCTCTGTTTTGATTAACCCAGAAACAAGAAACAGATTTAAAAAGCAGGGAATTGATTGTGAATTTGAGATAGATGTGTTGTACCTTCTTGCACCTCTTTTTTCACATGATGGTAATTCTGCTGCCCTGCTTTGATCTTACTTGTTTGACTATGAGTGTTTGTGAGAAACTGCACTCCAGCTTGGTTCTTTTTCTTTTTTTTTTCTCTCTACAATTTGCTTTAAGCATTACATTTGATTCATTTGCAACATTGTAAATGTGATTTCCTCTACATTTTAGCCACAGTACTTACAGGCGATTTGGCTTAGCTGACAGTCATTTTACCACAATTCTCAGTTCAAACGCTGCTTTGATGTAGCTTACACACTGCAAATATTACGCTGATCAACCTGAGGGACATAGTGAATAATCATATTTTTTTTCTGATGGAAATGTTGATTTATTCCCTTTTTTCCATTTTAGTCTTATTAGGCATCAAAGCTGTTAAAATTTGAGAACATGCTTTAATGAATACTAAGTAAAATTCCACATATTTTCCATTTATTACAGCTTTTTGTCCCTGTTTTCCTGTTATTATAAGTTTGTACTTATTCCTACTAAATTAGTGATTCTACATTTTTAATGGGAGACATAAACTAGTAATAAGTTTAAACGTTTGTTCAGATTATTCTCGTTGAAAAATTTCCACAGCTGCTCTAATCATCTCAGAAGCTATAAACTAAATGTGAGCAAAAAAAGAAAAAAAATTGTGCAAACCATGCTCAGTCTCAATGTCAATGTGGTTCATTCTACTCACTTATGGAATCTAGTGGTTTTTGTGGGTTTAAATGACAACTAAAGATTTATGATTTGCAGTGTGCATGTGCATGATATTCTAAAGTTGTGTCATCTTACCTCACAGTGTGCTCTATTTGGGCTGTTAGGACCAAAGCAATGATAAGGCTGTCCTTTCACCTGTGCTGTCCATTGTAAAACGTGTAAACCTCGCACCATTGCATTTTACCCATGATTCCCTCTTCTAGGCATGGACCCACCAAAAGAGCTGACAATGTCCGATGTGACTGAGGATGCAGTGACAATTTCTTGGATCAAGCCTCTCGCTCCATTTGAATACTACAAGCTCTCCTACCAGTCAGCCAGAGGTAAAGCGCACAAGCACAAGCTGCAAACGGTGTCCTAACTCTATAGCATCATGACATTTTTTATGGTAACTTACACAAAGCACACTGCTGTTTCTCGTTACAGTTAAACGAGTGTGGCATTTGCTCCCATATATAAGAAACATTTTCTATCCGAGCGCACTGTTGCGGTGCTGCGTTATAGCTAATTAATCACAACTTTTTATCAGTCAACTTTAATTGAATTTTAAATTACATTTCTGCACTGAGCAACCATTCCCTGCTTGAAGTATGTCATGAAGCCGCTGGCTACATGGAACACCATGTATACAATGTACAATGAGAAGAGCATTTGTGTTTTGATGGCTGGGGTGTCTCCTGCAGGTCGGGTGGACAGTGAGATGATTGACAGTGATGTGACAAACTACACRTTGTCCAACTTGTTTCCTGCCACTGAGTATAAGATCAGCATCAGTGCTTTCAGAGGGAGTCAGGAGAGCAAAGTTGTCAGCACATCGGTGTTCACAGGTAAGAGTTAACAATATAAAAACCTGAATAAGCTTATGCTTATGTACAAAAAACCAGGCACAATGGCTTAATTGTTTAAGTGAATTGGTATTTAGTTGTTCATAGAAGCCTTTTTTATTCTTGTATTTTTTCTGTGTTATAGGGTTTTGCATCACTGTAGCACCTCATTTTTTATTTTTCTGTTTAAAAACAATTTTAATTGTCTTTGAAGGTTTATTTCACAAAAAACCACTGATGTTAGAAAATTGGATTATATACTGCAGAGTGTAAGACAGCATTTAAGTCAACTGTCCCAATTTGAATGTGAGGGTGGGCAGGACACCCAAATGTCTCGCATTTGAGAAGCGCTGACTTTGCTTAAGTGTCTGTGCTTCCAAGCTGTGTGTGTGRGAGGGTGGMGATGGAGGGGTTTCTTTACGGGCCGCTCACAACTGCACAAGCCATGTTACTGTAATTAGTCGATGTTGGATGTAAAGAGCAACGTCTCAGCTTTCAGAAACCGTCGGGATTTTTCTGATGGCATAAATTAACACGGAGTTACGGTAACACGAAGTGTGAGTCAGAAAAACATGCATTATCTGCGACAGACTCGTAGAATGGATTCAGTCTTTTTTTGTTGAAGTTAAGGTAAGTTTAGTCATTGTTCCAGCCATCAAACCATCATTTCTTAGACGTTTCACTGCTAGTGACGAGCCACCAAGGGATTGTGTAAAAACCATAAGGAATGGACCAAACAGTGTAGGGCAAGTTGCTTGTACTTTACTTTGCAGATTGTCAGGCTAGTCTGTTTTGTTACAGACAAACTCATGGTCTTCAKTGTGTAAAAAAACAGCCAAAAGCACATGTATGATCTCAGATAAAGTTCACCATAAAGACTGTATAAGTCATTGTTATATATTTCAATAAATGTAGAACAATTTTATGTTTTTATTAATCTTATGTATTTAGAAAAAAATTCTTCAAATAGCTAGAAAATGCATCGTTTTGAGTATGTTTTTTTGTAAATTTTCTGGGGGGTATGCATCTAAACCCTCCTAGGTTCACTTCATGCCACTGATGCTCTCTAATGGATAAAGGTGTCTCTCATTGCCACCAACAAATGTTGGCAAGTATACAATAGTTTATATTGTTTGAAATGAACCAAATGCTGCTGGCAGATAAAATGTGTTTATTGCAACAAACACTGAGGGACACAGCTTTCAGTTGGGAAGACTAGATCCATTTTGTGTACTTTTGGTTTTGCAATCCTGCTGACCTGTTAACACTGTCAAAATGWTATCTAATACACTTACAACACAAAAGCATATGTGCTTGTACAATAGGTAATACCAGATGCTTGTCCACATTTGTTGCTTGATAATTAACTAAAACAACATGTTTAATATCAGCTGACTTTCCAATTTAGGACTGATTGATTATGAGGATTTCCTTATGGAAGCGATTAAGTAACAATATCCTAATTAAAATGGATTAATAGAAATGCTGTTTCATTTTCAACATGTACAGACCACTGCTAGATTTCATGGAATAAATGAGGAGTTCCATCTCTGCCAGACAGTCAGAGCATTTGTTCAACTCACACCTGTGCAAAAGGCTCTCATGTACACGGTTGCACAAACACRTCACATAAAATCGAAATATACAGCCGACATTGCAGGAGGTTTGGCCTTTCCTGCTGCAACAGATGAAACTGTCCACACCGTGATTCTGTAATTGGTTACCACCTCCCAGCTCCATCTCACTTTGTGCCATCACTCTTACTGCTTTCCACTGTTACTTACCTCTTTATCCATTTGACTTACTTCGATCTTTCACTATGCCAGTCTGTCTTTGTCTTTCAGTTTGCCTTTTCTTTTTTTCCCCTGTCTCTTTACTGTTGATCCCAATTGCATCTGTCTCTTTTTTCACTTTATTTTTATCAGGAAAGATATGAAATGATTGCTCTTAAATGTGGTACTAAATTGTAAATTAGGAAACAAACAAAAAAAAAACAACAACAACATATTTTTCTCTGTTTTTTTGCACACAGTTAAGATAGCATTTGATAAATAAATAAAAAATCAGCTGACCTGACATTAGTACACTTCATCAATGCTGTATGCACATTTGTGTTCAGTTAAGGGAAAAAAAGCCAGAATAAGCAGCAGAGCTCACCTCTCCGCCTCTCCATTGCTGTTATCAGTTCCTTTTCCCAACAATCCCTGTGTTCTCATGACGATCAGAGACGCCAGGGCTGTAATAGCCTGAAAAGAACACAAGTCCCAAGTCAAGCTTGTTAGAAATGGTAAATAACATTTTCCTCACGCAGCACAATGCACAACCAGGGACACTTTAATACAGCTTTCAACAACAATACATAAACAGGGGATTGGACGTGTAATCCAACATTGCCTGACCAAGTATGTAATGACTTGAGTAAGACCACACTTGCTACATACCTCACTTCCATAATCAATTATCCTAAGAGGGCTGAAAAAGCAGCAAGCCATTTTTCATTTTGCCAACACAGCAGGTACTGTTAATCTAAAATGAATCTGGCAGGGTTGACTCTGAATGGACTGTGTGAGGCTCTGTTCAAGGGCTAATGACTGTGCTCATTAGGGAAATGTCRGGACCCCTCACTCTTCCCAAAACAGGAGTTGGCTGAAATCCTTCTTTTCCACCAAGTGTCTCAAAGATACATATATAACTTCATTTGGAGGAAACCTTCACTAACAATTCCGTTTCACAAAAATACAGTTATATTCACTGGCAAAAACAGTTTTAAATGTATTGAGCTAAAATCCAGCACTAATAGCTGATAWGTCTTTCAAGCACTATTCATTGCACATCTTTGCTTTAAACTTTGGCATTTATTGCCTTGATACGTCTTAATAATTAATGTGGAAAAAACTGAGTAAGTTCTCTAACCRGGTTCTTCTTTGTTGAAAAGTTCCAAGGTGTTTCTACCTGTCCAGAACACCTACTCAATTTGTATTAGATTTGACATTAATTCGTGGCATCAGCATAACATCTCATAAACCACTGAACTGTTTTYAATGAAATTCTCAGAAATAACAACTTGGTGTTTATTTACTATTTTTGAAGTCAACTCAATTTAAAGGCATCTGCCACAGCTAAATGACCTCAGCCAATACAAAAATGGCTATAATTTATTATATATAGTTAATAGACAGTGTACTGAAGTTTAATGTGGAATTAGCTGGTTTTCATCATAACTACCCAGTCTGAGCAGATCTTTCCAGGTCTTTCAGTATCAGATAAGACTGGTAATGTCAAGGATTCTTCAGTATGACAATTTCTACATCTCTTCTCATTATAAAATGTTCTTAATTAAATAATTTAAGCAATGATTTGCCTTTCAATTATAAATCAGTTTTGTTATACAAAAAATAATGAGAACATTTTTGAACAAAAAATGATTTTTTTTTTTTTTGCAGTAGATGCAATAGTCAACATGAATGGGCTTCTCATTGGTGTTAAACTGTGACAAAACTTGTCAGGGTTATCATTTATGCTCCATCAGTTAAACAAAAACCAGGAATTTAAAATGAACCCAATCTTAACTAATAAAAAGTCCTTCATAAAATAATAGTTTTGTCAATGTCACAAAGACCTCGTTATAATTAAAACACATTTGGAGAGTACTTAAAATATTATTGGAGTAATAATAATGAAAATAAACTGTTAGTCTACATACTGATTAGGCACTCAAACAATCTTTCAGGATCAGTTGCCAAGTGCACCCACCAATAACTAATCCTCATTGAAAAATTGACTGTAATTATTGGTCATGTTTCACTTCTCCAATTTATTGTATTAGCAACCATTTTAATAACACAYGGTATTTCTGCTATGCATAATTCTTAATCAGCATGTTTTCCTTGCAGCACAACACTTCAGTTCACACGTTGCAGGAGCACCACTGCTGCAGCAGGTTTCACATATTTGCATTTGAGCAGCATGACACCACAAACAGTCACAAGTATAGTTTTGGGATTACACATGTAAAAGATGTTTGCACAGCAGTATGTTTCATGGTTGTTGTTGTTTTTTTTCTATACCAAGGAGAGGTGATTGAAATATGAACCTAGTTTAATACTTCAGGGGCTTTGTTAAGATTTTTAATCGAGCATATTTTTTTCTCTCAATTTGAAAGCTTGCTTCTGTGTTTGAACATTACAATATGCTGATTATGTTTTATCTCTCAAACTACCTTCAGTCTATAAAAAGGTGTTCACTTATATTTATTTGCTACCTCACATCTGACACTTTATAGATGCGCTCATGTTGCTTCATGCAAAACTTTAATTACCAGTCATTAATTTTTCTTGTCATTCTTTTTACGTTACTGTTACAAAGTTGGTTCAAAACAAATGTAATTTAAGATATTTTACAGAGAAAATGTTAGTTTATTGCTGTCTAAGTCAATTAAATCCTTAATATTCCAATGTTTACTCTCTCTCATTTTTTAAATCAAAAATGTATTTTTGTACATTATCAATAAAATACAATTGGCATTATACTCAACAAATAACTACAATAATTTTATTATTTTTTCTAAGGGCTGTTTCTCCTCAAATAAACAAATAACTAACTAACATAAAACTAAATTACACATTGGGCCTCATGCAAGAACCATTCGTACACACAGATTTATTCTTAAGTTGTACGTACGAGTGATTTAGGAGAATTTGTGACATTCACCAATGTTTTCGTATTCTAAGATTTTTTTCAGATACGAACAAAATTCACGTGTGGTCCAAACCTGTTGTATATTTTACAAGCAGTCAGTCTGCTGTTATCCAGACAGGTTTTCCTCCCAAATAAATTTATATTTCGTTAGTTTGAAGATATTTTGAGTTCAAAATAAATCACACTCTATGATTATCTTGACAATAGGCTATTCTGCTTGAATTAGAGTTATAATTTTAAATGTGCACAACAAAATAAATGAAAATGATTTAACACAGTTGTTTATACTTTTAGCAGCTCATTTTATTCCACAGCTGACCTGCAAAAAATGACAGACTTTCTTTTCTGGATCTCTGACAGACGGACTTCAATCTCTGAACTCGTAAAGTTCTTCTTTTTAGTTTTCGGTGTCATTTTCATGAATGGACACTTCCTGATATCTGAGGCAGGAAACATAGCCTTTATATGGTGTTTTTGGGGTGGTAATTATGCTAATCTCCTCTCGCGTGCACGAGCAGCTGGATAGAACAGGTGGAATTTACGCAGCTCATTTACACACGTTTCCTGAAGATAGAAGAGTTTGTTGAATCTGACGTGACATGTTCGTACAAAAAAGAGAGAGAAATTTAGGATAAAAATACGAAAATGTTCTTGCATGAGGACCATTGGGTCTAAATAGCACATGTCTAATATATGTACTTACAGTACTGTTTTTCATTATCTTTGTAAGATTTCTGCCTAACAATAGTCTTGAGGGGACAGTGTGACATGAAACAGGAAGACCTACACAAGGAGAGGGACATTAGAGTCATGGGATTTTTTGTATTACACGAATCCATCAGTGAGTAGAGAAAATCCTGGAGAAGTTTTGTAAGCTTACAAAAGAAACCTGAGTGAAGACAATGACACAAAATTGGTGTGAAAAATAACAGAGCAAAAGCAWGAAATACTTACTTGAAAGGATAAGTTCTTGATTAAACTTTGTAATAAAAAACATGGTACATTGCTAAGTATCTTTGACTAAGTGAACTGTGCTGGTTTGTGTAAAGGCCACAGTCGAATCGTAAAGCAAACTGACCTCATGGTCAACACATTGCATGGTTCCTGGAGTGTGTTGTTTAGCAACGCAAAGCCATAATGCAACTTTTTTTCATTGGTTTCTCAAAATGATTTAGACATTTAAAGGCAAATCAAGCAATTAAAGACAAACTGAAAAAGGAGAACTTTGCTCCCAACAAATTAGAACTCTAAAATGTTACAGTGGTATTAAATAAATAAATAAATACACTTAAATGATGCGTCTGTCAATCAAAAACAACCCTTAAGCTAATTGTGGTTGTCAACGTCCACTGTGCTGTGTTTTTATCAGCTAAGCAAGCGGACATGAAATATATAYTTTTTTAATTTAAAATATTATTTGTATATTTGTTGAACAGCAGCTTGTTTTAATGCCAACATGTTAACAGTCTTTGTAATAGTTTCAAATGCTGCTATATTTACAGAGTGTATTTTCCTCTGTTGAGCTTTCAGCTCAAGCAGAGGTTACAGGCTGATCCTGCAAATGTCAGCATGACTCAGAAGGAAGTTGTTTAAATCCCTGTACTCCAGAGTTTCAATAACACACCTAATAAATAATACAAAGGTGCTCATGGGAGTTTTCTCATATTAATGTGCCTCTCGTGTGTAACAGAGGTAGACTGATTTATTGGTCGTCTGAGAAATCAGGCCAATTAATGCAATTTTTAGGTAATCAGTATCATCCAAGCCTGAAAATATTAAATGCTGATTAACAAACACAGTTATATATATATTGTAAATTTGACTGTGTATGAGCATTGGATTGCTAAAAGGTATTGACAAAATGCCAACAAGCAAACAATATTAGGTTTGTATGTTAGCCATTGACCTGATTTCTAAAGCTCAGCTATAGCCATATTATAAGTGACAGGTAGTGTGTTTGGCAGGGTTAGTGTWGGACCAAGAATGTCGATAAATGAGGACTCAAAATGATGAAATAGTCAACAAAATAAAAAGCTGACAAAACTTGCAAAACACAGGAGAAGCACAAAGAACCACATAGACAGTTGTGACAGGAACCTGAACTTAAACCAAGCAGCTGAATATGTAAAGCAGAGGTTGATGAGGTGGATGCAGCTGAGCTGATTTGTGATTGGCAACAGGTGTGAGTGGCAGACTGAATGGAGAAAATGAGCATGATACAGGAACATCATTAGTTATTCTGTTTTTTAAAATACAAAAGTAATCAAATTGTTAGAGCAAATATTAAAATCCTTAATAATACAGCTTAAACAAATATTTACTTTGAAAATAACTGGCACTTMTTGTGGCAACTTTGTCATTTTTTTAGATAATTCTTTGATAAAATTTCAGGACCTTTTTTTCCTTTTTAAACTTCAAGATCAAGCATCCAGATTTTATTATTTTGTTGCCGAACCCAATACAAACATGTGTTTTCTATCTCAAGTGAAACCCTTCAGACACAAGTCTAAAGGGGCTTTATAGCTGATGTTGACCAAAGGCTTTCTTTTCATCATTCAGGAAGCTGAAATAAACATGCTGCTGTCTGACAGAAAGTGTGTCTGAGCTGGGAAAAAAAACTGAAACATTGCTTCAGAAGTGGATCATGCAGCAAAATGCTTTTAGTTTAATTCAGTTTATTTTGTTATCTTGATTATCTTGTTTTCTGAATAATAAAAAGCAAAACCCATAAGTGGATATTTTATTAATGGGTTTTTCCTAAATACATATATGACAGCATCAGTTCAGTCTGGGATTCACTGATCCAATCAGGAGATGGACAGTGATAACTGGATTATCACAAGCCCTGATAAAAGAGGATGAACTGTTTATTGGACTGATTTTTTTTTTTTGCTCCATCTCTATCGCTCATCAAATGAACTCAGCAGGCCTCCATCAGATTTCCTTACATCATTTTGCAATTAACCTAATGATTTTATTTCSGTTTCTCCATCCGTTGCTACAGTAGGAATGACACTAATTCACTTCTGTGTGCTAATGAGGGCAATTCTTTTTYGCTTTGATAAGGGTATTATTAATCACCTGATCTGGACAGAACGCTGTGTGTTCTGTGATCTCCCGCCATGCTTTCTGTGCCCAAATAACACGCCTGAAGGGCAATTGGGGTTGAAAAACTGAGGTTAAAGGTATAATTAGATTCAAACTCAATTCTGGCATGTCCAGCAGTCTGAAAGTGGAATTAGAAAAAGGGTGAGGAAACAGTTGGCTAAGGAGATTATCTGAGCCTGTCYATATTTGACTTTCAAAAAGCCTTTTTTTTGCTGGGAATTTACTGAATCTTAGAGGCTGTATTAGGAAGCTTGGTATGCAATCCAATGTGGGGTAGGTCTGAAAATAAACTGTATAATTTAGTGTTCAACTGAGAAATGTTTTGGTAGCTTACAAACCTTTTTCAGGAAAAAAAAGTCAAATCTTTTGTTGTTTCARCTACAGTACTGTTGCATTTACATAAACAAACATGTTGACTTGCGTACCCATTAATTATAGATTGTCTGTCTTTATTTGTCTTCCCTTTAAAACAGGTTATTGCACTGAGTTTATGTTGTTTTGTGTTTGTTGAAATAATAGCGATGGATATGCCTGCTGAGCTGACAGCCCTCAACATCACTCCACAAGGAGCCTTGCTGAGGTGGATTCCTCCCCTGTCCATCGTGGACAACTACGTGCTGACTGTCACACATAACCAGCGTGAGTTGTCAATCATTTCATTTCAGTCACTTGCTATTGTTTCAGTGAAATCGCAATCATGAAAGGACACTTTTTATTCTGCTTTAGTCACCTGGAAAGCTTGGTTTTTTAATCATAATTCTTTGTTGTAAACTTACTTAAAATAGAGGCATTCTTCTTTTACATAAAGGGTGATCACACACAACAAGCCTTGCCCCTGAGCTATACAGAAAAATCAGCATCACTCAGCAGCTGGAGTGAATGTGTTGAATGACACCGGGCTGAGTGGGATGTAACTGGATCACCTCAGATACAGAAACAGCATGTGTATGCAGGAGATGCTTTTGGAAAGCAGCACCAACAAGGATGGTGAAAAGTGTGATGTAAGATTTGGACAAATTCCCGTGAATGTTAATGTCGTCATTGCAGGTCGATAAATAAAAACTCTGCTGAGTATTGAACTGCATTAGAAATTAGATTCGTACTGAGAAAAAGAACACAGACATGAAATACAAACCCTCATGGTTCTGATCAGATTATAGTGAAATATTGGAATATCCATCTATCGTCTGTCTGTCTATCCATCCCCATTTTTTTTCACATTTGGTTCCTTTTAATCTTTTGTTCATGAAATGGTTTCTTTTTATTTTGTCTGCTCTTTTCACTCATTTTCTGACCACTTCTTGTACCTGATCATGACAGTATATTGCGCAGTGTGTGCTGAAAAATGTGGAGGTGGACAAGTGGAGGACAGAGAAAGAGATGTCAAACCTTAAAATCTCWATGCAGCAGATAAGCAGGATCTCAAAATCTTTCCTTTAGGAAATAGAAACTGTGGCTGTGTCTCAATTCAGGGGTTGCAGCCAACGTAGGGCGCATTTGTCATGCTGCTTGCTGTGCCGCGCTGTAGGCTAAATGCGACCCACAAAAGCCCAAAAACGTAGGCTGCATCCGAAAATCCAACACGGAAGATGATACCTCAAGATTTATTGCGCCGTCATCAAACTAAACGGAAAAATTAAGACAGCAGGTTTTTTATTTTATTTTATTTTTTAATGGCAGAGTTTGGAAATCTGTCATGGACTGTGTATTTTTTATGTGTAACATTGTTTTAATATTGAATTGTGTAAATGTATACCGTGAAAAGCCAACTGAAGGCATGTGATGTAAAACATATGGCCATGGTAACGAGGTGGCACATGGTCCTGCAATCACACGTCTTCTGTAGACTAGATTGTGTCATTTCACAGCTGTTTATTTGCAGCCTACACTGGTGGCCTACAGCCCACGTAGGGTGCGGTGTGCGCCGCAACCAATGACCTGAGACACAATTCATGCTATCAAAGACGTAACAGAGAGCCTGAGCAATGTACCCTTTAAGTGATCAAATGTAAGGCAAATTYTAAGCCAATAGTTGAACAGAATCACCTTGTTTGTACTAAAATAATGTTTCATGACTGTCAAACTGAGTTGCCTTTGGAGATTTTATAAGATTTAGCTAAAGAAATGGGAATGAACTCTTTTTTTGTGAAAAGCTACTGTAAAAAAGCGAACAAAGATTCATATTTAGTTTGACTCTTTGCTTCACTTCATGTCTCACAATCATGTTCCACATTCTACTTAATACATTATTTCATACAAATCTCAATAAGRTAATAAATGGGCTGCACGACGGATCAGCGGTTAGCACTGTTGCCTCACAGCAAGAAGGTCCTGGGTTCAATCCCCGGTTCGGACCTGGGGTCTTTCTGTGTGGAGTTCGCATGTTATCCTCGTGCTTACGTGGGTTTTCTCTGGGTACTCCAGTTTCCCACACAACCCAAAATTATGTGTACAATAGGTTGCCTTCAGGCCCAGGCTGCCCTTGCAAAAGAGACCTGTGATCTCAATGGGACTTGCCTCGTTAAATAGTGGTAAAATAATTTAAAAAAATTGTTATGTATAGGAATTTTACTTAAGTAGATGTAGTTGTCAAGGCAATGCACTGGTCCGATGCCAAGAATAAACATAATAAACCAGTAAGCTGTGCTTTTCTTAGCCAAATAATCACAAAACTGCAACTGCTCTGCTTCTTTTTGTTCAATTTTATACTTATGAACATTTCTTCCCCAGAAGCCAAAGTAACGTAGAATCAACATCAAATTGCTCAAGTAGTTATGACTATGAGATACTTTTTTGCCACATTTCTACGAGTCTTACATTTTTGGATGCAGTTTTTTTTTTGACTAAAGGTATGAAAGAATAGTGTTATGTGTGTTCGTTACCAGGATGTGTGCTTAAACCATACGGAGAATGTACAATGCACGGAAAAGATTATTAAGGAGAAACCATACAAAACCAAAAGAGCGCTYTCTGCTGAAGTCTGGTTTAATCAAGTGACCAAGAGTTCAGGCCGAAAATAAGGAAGTACATTTGGTTTTAACAACGGCTCCGAGGCATGGCTCCACCTATTGATTATGTCATCAGTGGAGGGTCCCTCTTCTCACTAGAAGCCGTGCCCCTAAACATCAAAAACCTAATGAGGACTTAAAAGTTCAGTTATGTGTTGATTTTGTTTTCAGGCATGCAGCTATTAATTTAAAAATCAAGTTAAACAAAACAGTCACATTTAACAATCATCACAGTTCTATCATGACTATACCATGTGTATGTAATTTAAATCAGTTATATAAACCTAAACCCCAATAATTTCTTCAGGTATGTAAATTATAATGATTATGCACAATCGGGTCTGTTTTCTTTCTGTTTTCCAGTGACAGCTGATACGTTCCTGGTGGAAGGCAACAAGCAGGAGCACCAGCTTTCCAATCTCAAGCCAAGCACAACCTACTCGGTATCCCTGTATGCAACGAAAGGACCCCTCACAAGCGGCACTGTCATCACCAACCTCCAAACACGTAGGTTTTCTTCTTACTCACCTCGCCTCACCACAGGGGGTTACCCAGCATCTCTATGGTTAGTACTGTTGAATCCCAGCAGGATACTCATCTGAGCCTGACTTACAGTAGTCCTTTCTGTGTGCAATGCAGATGTTCACACTGTGTTTGCACTAATCAGTTTACAATTGCACAATTGAATTTGCACCCCCGCCCCCCAAAAAACAAAAACAAAAGAAAAAAAACTGTGTGCCAGTGGGGACTCCTGGCAGTGTTTGTGATCACTGCTTCAAAGATGATTACCTGTTTAGTGCATGAACACAACCCCGACCCTCATGTTTTATCGTTTAACCCTATAATCATGTGCAGCCATGAAAACAACAGTGCAGCATAGGAAAGAAATCCTCTAATCTAATTAAAGTCTATAAAATTACTGATGCTTTCCTTTTATGAGTTCACTGTTTCCCAATCACAACTCCATTCTGCACTCTAAACCACAAATGGCAAAGGATTTTCTTTAATGCAAAGATGTTGAC